CATGTCCGGCCACCAATACTTCGCTGCGATTCTTGCGTACGTCTGCGACACCCGCAGATGGCACGCAAAGATAGAGTCGTGATTCTCTCGCAGTACGTCGGCCCATAGTGCCGCTGGCAACACATGCCGTCGTCCTCGCGAATGTGCACCAACTCGCCGACCACCACGACATCTCGTCCAGCGTAGCGTCCCTTCCGCCTCAGCTCCTTTACCGTCTTGTCCTCTGCTTGACGCTCACGGATCAGAGCGTCCGTCACTTGCCCTTCTCCGCCCTGCGCTGCCGCCTCTGCACCTTGCTCTCCTCCAGGTCCTTGACCAGCTGCCGTCACCGTGTGCACCGGCGCGCGCGACAGCGCGTCGGCGACCACGTTACTCGCCCCTGGTCGATACACAACCTTGAAATCGTATTCCTCCAACTGCAGCGACCATCTCTGTAGCCGCCCCGTGAGATCCTTCGAAGTCATGAGCCACTTTACAGCGGCATGATCCGTTACCAACTCGAACTTACGCCCATAGAGGTAGGGTCTAAACAGCTTCACAGCCCACACCACGGCCACGCACTCCAAGTCCGTGATGCTGTACTTTGCGACCGTGGGTGAGTTGACCTTTGAGGCGTACGCCACCGGTTGCTCGCCCTGCCCTTGGTCCTGCGTCAGCGTCGCCCCCAATCCAACCTTGGAAGCGTCTGTCACCAGCTTGAAGGGGCGCGTGAAGTCGGGATAGGCCAGCACCGGCCGCTCCGTCAACGCGCACTTCAGCTGCTCGAACGCCTCCTGCTGTGGCTCTGCCCATCGCCACACTGCATCCTTCCGCAGCAGCCGTGTGAGTGGCGCTGCCACGCTCGCAAAACCAGGCACGAACCGCCTGTAGTAGCCCGCCATGTGGACGAACCGCTTCACCTCCTTGGCATCAGTCGGCGCCGGAAACTTGCGCACACTATCAACCAGACTCTCCATCGGGCGCACCCCCGAGGCGTCCAACTCGTGCCCTCGCCAGTTCTACGACGTGTCGCGTCATGTCCCCCTTCGAGAAGACGATGACGTCGTCCAAGTACACCAGACAGCTCTCCCAGGTAAGCCCTCTCAACATTGCGTCCATCATTCTCTGGAAAGTACCAGGTGCATTCGCTAACCCAAACGGCATTCTTACGAATCTGAACAGGCCTTGCCTCGTCACGAAGCCGGTCTTATCGCGATCTGCCGCCGCCACCGGGACTTGCCAATATCCCGCGTGAAGGTCTAGGCTCGTGAATCGCCGAGCCCCATGTAGATTGTCAAGGGTATCATCTATCCGTGGTAGTGGGTAGACGTCCCGCTTAGTGATGGCATTAAGATGTCTGTAGTCGATGCAAAATCGCACCGACCCATCCTTCTTCTTTACCAACACTACCGGAAAGCCCCAAGCACCACCACTGGGCTCGATCACGCCGTCCAGCAGCATGTTCGTCACCTCCTTATCAATGACCTCCTGCTCACTGCGCGCATACCTTCTCGGTCGCACCTTGATCGGGGCCTCATTGCCAGTGTGGATGGCGTGCTCCACCCCCAAAGTCGTCATTGGTGGACAGCCTTTCCTCGGCTCTAGTAGCACAGGGTAGTTCCTAAGAACTCGTAATAGCAACTCTTTGTCCTCTGCGCTTATGTCCCCGATATCAAGTTCGTTCTCATTGCATAACGGCTCGGGGTTGGCGCCCAGCTCACGCTCCAGCCACTCCTTCACCTTGTCTCTGCTCAAAGCGCCGCCCAGCTCCATCACGTCAAGGTCGTCGCTGCTCGGTGCCCATGTGCCAAGCACCTCACGCGTTGGTAGCTTCGCCCTTCGTCCTACTAGGTTGAGTATCGGGACTACGATCTTGTCACCTCGGACTGCCGTCAACGTTGGAGCCAACAACAGGTGTAGCTCTTTGCGCGGGGCGGGCATGAAGACGCCCGTAGTGCCCTCCGGCGCTGCCACTGCCAGCTCCACGTTGTGACAGGTCCGAGTGCCGATCTTCGCCCGACGCACCAGTCTCACCCGAATCGCCCGCTCGTTCTGTGGCCCTTCACGGGTGCAGGAGAACGGCACGATCTTCTTGATGTCCCCGCTGTACAACTTCATCTCGCAAGCGGTGAAGTCGATCTTCACCCCGTTGCCCAGCATCCAATCTTCTCCTAGCAGGAACTCGTCAGCAGCGCCCTCGACCACCAGCACCTTCACGGACATTGTCTGCCCGTACTGCGTCTCCATCTTGAACTGCCACACTCCGAGCACTCTGGCCACGGTGCCCCTCGACGAAGTCCACTGGCGGCAGCTCGTCCAGCTGTATGCCCAAGCGCTTCCACGACTCGCCGGCCACGGTGTATTGCGCACCCGTGTCCAGCTTGATGTCGCACCACTGCTCTCGCATCATCACTCGTGCCGTCGGCAACGTGTCCGTCGCCGGTGCACGGACTGCCCGTAGTCTCCCCACTCGTACTGGCCGCGTCCCTTCGTCGATCCAGCCAATGATCGGCTGCCGGTAGACGCTGCCACCATGGTAGCGGTACTGCTTCATGGGCTTCTTGCCCCTGATCGTTCTCTTCATCTGCTCGGTGGCGCGTGGCAGCGCAAAGCCAATCGCGTGTGCCTCCGCCGCCGACAGTAACCTCGGTGCATCGCCTCCGCGTCGTCCAAGCGCGGCGTAGCCGCCCTCTGTCTTCGCTCGCGCGGCCAACCTCTCACGGATCCGGCGCTGCTCTCGCGCTCTCGCCTTCCGCACTCGCTTCTCGAATATGCGCCTCGTTCTTGAGACGCGGATTGTCGCTTCCACGGGCCGCGTCCATTCGTTGGGCTCCACTGCGTCCAGACCCGCTGCCGCCATGATCACTTGCTTGGCCGCACCGTCACGGATGTCCACCTCGCCCACGATGCTTCCACCGGCAATTTCCTCTTGGCGGTTCTCCTCCGCCACTGCCAGTTTCGCCAGGCCGTCCAGCAGGACGTCCTTCCGACCACGAACTTCGCCGAGCGCTTGCGCTGCTCGTGCGCTCCACCTCAGCGCCTTCTTGAACTCCTCACTCGGCTCGGGCATCTGGAACGGTGCCTCTGCCGTCACTCCTCTCGCCAGTTCGCCCTTGGTCTCGCTCCCGTCGGGCTCCTTGGGCATGGAGTCCGTCAGCATCAAGCTGCCCACCGCCATGTCCGCTGTGAGCTGCTCACGCTCGAGTCGCTTCTGCCGACGCGCCCTATCGCGTGCTAGCCGCTTCTCTCGCTTCCGCAATCGTCGCGCTTCCTCTTCCTTCTCGGCCGCCACCACACTCGCTTCAGCAACGCGTTTCCGTAGTGCCTTGGCCTTCGTCAAGTCGTGGCGTCTTTGCTCTGCAGTCAGCGCAGTTGCCAGCGCCGCTGGTGATGCTCCACCTTGGTTGGGGCGTCCTTCGTCTGCGCGTCACCGTACTTGGCCATCTCCGTCAACCACGCGCCCAGTTGCCTGGCGACGAGGTTACGCCGTTCGTCATCCGCAAGTCCTCCTGAGAATTGGCCGAGGTCGACCACTACTCGGCTGGGTCCGCCGTGCGGCTCGCCCGTCCGGTCCTCCATGCTGTCCACACCACCCTCTCTGTCGCCGACCACGACATCACCGTCGCTGGGCTTCGCCGTGGTGCCACGCCCCGTCTCGACGCTACTCTTCGCATCGGCGTCGCCTTCCGCCGCCGTGTCCACTGCGCTTGTCTTCTCCCCCGTGACCAACGTGCCGGCACCGTCCTCGTCGCCCTGGAATCGCACGCGCCGCTGTACGGACTCGCCACCTTCGAGCACCGACCCTACTCATCGAACGGCGCAATCCCCAGCCCGTGATACCGCAATGCTCATCCTTGCCGCCGTGGCTTCTTGCTCAGCCTGGGTAGGCACGCGCACTGTCCGCACGGCGCCATCCCCAGACTGGCCTCCCACTTCCCCTATCACCACTCCTCCCGAAACAGCCTCGTCCTCGTGACGTCCTCCGCCTTCGTCCTCGCGACGTCTTCCGTCTTTGTCCTCGCGACGTCTTCCGTCTTCGGCCTCTCGACGTCCCCCGTCTTGCCCAACCGAACCTGGGTCAGACGTTCTCGCCCACCGTCGCCGACCGCGCCGGTGCCGCCCTCGTTTCTTCTCCTTCTTGCCCGGGTCAGAACGAGCGAGCGATTAGGCCGGGGCCCTTATGCTCGCTGCTCGTTTCCCGCACCACCATCCTCGGCACTCGCGTTCTGTGCGCCGCGTCCTGATGCAGCCAAGTCCGCCGTCTTCAGGTCGTAGTCCCTCACGAAGTGACCCGACTGGCCGCAGTTGAAGCAGAACGTGCCCGTGCGGGGCGTGAATGGTGTCCGCTGCGCCCGCCGTTCCAGGTACCGCTCATGGTTCCTGAGTTGGCCCTCGCGCGTCGCCAGGGTTGGGTCTGGGGCATCGGTTCTTGCCCCAAACGTCCCTCTTCCGTTGAACCCGCCTCCGCCGTTGCCGCCACCGGCAACAGCTGCGCCTTCGACCTTGAACGTCTTACCCGGACGCTTCGAGAGCTGTTCGCCCCCTGGACGTTTGTTGCGCGCGCCAATCTGTGGCTCAGGGGCGCCACGCGTTTGAAAATTCGAATTCGCCAACCCGCTGGTGTCCGGTACCAACCGGTATCCCGGCGGTATGGCCTTCCACCACTCATCCGTCCCGGTCTTACCGGTACCTACCAATCGTCCCTCGGTATCATACCTCGGCGGCTTGGAGGCAGTCCCCCAAATTGGTCCATACCCCGTCACCACTCCGGCCAAGTTTCCCCCAAGTCCCGACTGCTCTTGACCCGTCGTCGCTCTCGCCGAGGCCCCGCGGCCTTTGGACGCCTGGCGTGCATCCCACGCGCTCGCTGCTGCCTCCGGTCCTACACCGTATCCTTCTCCGTAGTCGCCGACGTGTGGGACCGCCAAGTTGACCGCCTCATCCAGCGTCCTGGGGCGGTGTCCACGCACGTGGGTCGCACCCATCGGGCTGCTCATGCCCTTCAGGAACGCGTTCACCAGTCAGTCCTCGCTGATGTCGCCCTGCTCCGCGATCTCGCGCAGCGATTGCGCGTACTCCAGCAACCTCTCACCTCGCAGCTGTCGACGCGCGTTGAGCAGATCGACGACCTCCGGCATCGTGCGTCTCGTCATGTACGTCGCCCTCAGCATGGACGCCAAGGTGTCGATGTTCTCGTCGCCCGGCGCGACCGTCTCCATCACCGTCGCGAACCAGCGCTGCGCTTCGCCGTCCAAGTGTGCCGCCACCTCGTGGTAAAGCTGCGCTTCGGTCCACTGGACGCCCATCGTCGCCGCCTGTCTGCGCACTTCCGCTCTCACTGTCTTCAGCCACATCGTCACAGGCATGCTGTCGTCGAGTCCCTTGAACTTGGACAGTTTGAGGGACTTGGCTTTCTCACGGACGGCCAGCGGTGGTGGTGGCGCTTGCATTCGTGCTGGACCACCTGCCGGTGCCATTCCCACTCCTGTTCCTCGTGCTGGTGGTGGCGGTGGAGGCGCTTGGCTCTGCCTCGCACTGCCCCGTCCGCCATCACCTCGAATGTTCGTCAGGTCCACAATTGCGCCGCTGTGTCCCGCGACGTCCACGCTCGGCCCAGGTTGCGTTACGCTGTCGCTGCTCGGGCTTCCGCTGCCGCCCGATGAGCCAGCATCGCCAGATGGACGACCACGGCCCTCGACGTCACCGCTTCCAGCCGGCGCGCGTCTTCCTCCCGGTTGTCCACTGCCGTTGTCGCTTCCTGCAGTACGTCCTCCGGCGCCGTCACCGCAGCTCGTGCCCAGCGGTGTATCACCCGCACTTCGGATCTCCGCCGTCCCCAGCGTCACGGAGACCTGCGTGCCTCCTTCGTCCGTCTCGACCGTCATCCCTCCACTTGGCTTCTGCCGTTTCGCTGCAGCAGCTGCCGCTTCAGCAGCCGTCCGTTCAGCCGAAGCAGCGCGCCGTTGCGCGCGCTCATCGCGTGCCACTGTTGTAGCCATCTCCGTAGTTCGTAAAACTGCAATAACCAACATCCATACTTATCAGTATCCCATCTTATTCTCATTCCTCGTTCGTCTCGCTGCGAGGGTTGCCCACAATCACTCCGCTCGCAACGTCTTCCTCTTTAAGACGTGCCCAGAGAGCCACTGCTATGACCACCATGTAGCTAGCGCCAACCTCCCTGCCCCATCCATTACAGGTCGTCAGCCAGCCGTCATCGATTGCAGACCTCTGCACCTAGGTAGCGGGTTAGCCGCGGTGGCATCAGCACGAGGCAGTTCTTACAGTGGTCAACCAGACAGTTACTGGCCGCCACCTAGAGATGACTGGGAGGAAGCGTTATCGGCACCGACGGTCGGGTAGCCCCGCCGGCTGCTCCCCGCAACTAGCCCGGTTACATGCAACGGACGCAGGTGTCCTTCACCCTTCACCCGTAGGTACACGTGGACCCTTTGTCCCTCGGTCGAGGCGCTCCGCCACAACCCCCGTGGTCTCTCTCCACGGTTCCGTCGCTCTACTTGTCCACTGCCCTCATCATGTGCGAGCTCTACCTCAGCTTACCTCTCCCTTACTGCTCGACTCCTCGCCGACGCCCTCCGCCGCAGTACGATGGTCAGCAACCCGTGCTTCCGGCGCAGATCAATGTATTAGTCTCAACTCGCTGCACGTCCCGCAACAAATCTTAACTGAGGGTCGAGTCGACACGGCCGCCGCTCACCTCCCTCCTATCTACCGTAGCCCCTCCGTCGCCTATACTAACTCTAGCTACAGCGCCCTTCCTATCCTCCTTGGACCTCTCCCCCTTCTTGTCGACTCGACACTTCTTGTCCTCACGTTCGCTCCGCTGGCGTCGCCTCGCCTCCTGGCATGCTTCCACCTTGACTCGCCTTCACACGTCGTACCTCCTGCGATCTTCGGCAGTCACGCTGCTTCAACTTCAATCGCCCACTTCCAGCGTTGGTCGGTGGCTCCAGCCCGCTGACTTGCCCCTGCCACCGGCCGCATCTAGCCGTACATCGTCGTCACCGACACCGCCATGGTGTGCCACATCACGTCCGTCGTCAACTCCTGCACGTCCAGCAGCTCGGACACGCGGCTGTTGGCCGTGTGACGGGCCACACAACTACATCTTCATAATATGATGCGTTGGCATAGACGACAAAACTGTTGGTTCAAGTATGACCAAGTCCACGACACTATGTATCTGCTGCTGTGGCGGCGGTGCGACCAGCTCTATGAACTTCATAGTATGAAGCACGCCAACCGTCCACTTTATATTTCCGATGCCATTGGGTCGAGCGCTCAAAACGCATTCGCACCGTGTTCAGCGCAATGCGGTCGTCAGCGATTCACGGTTAGGATAACTTGCTGAGAGTTGTAGGGATGGATATCAAACGCCACATCCTGGAGTGCTGTCATTGGTTAACCCACTTCAAGATAAACCCAAAACTTACCACAAAACTATTCGTGGTTATTACATTTGTTACTTCACAAATTCAGTAAAATTGCTGCAATCCCTAACTCCTTCCCGTTACTTCATGACTAAACATCGCCCGTAATTCCCATTCTAGCCGCCAAAATTACATGCCGTCGTCCAGCGATCCGCCGTCCTCTCCGGCAGGCGACGTCACCTCTCTGACGGCCTCCAGCGCGCTGCCGTCGTCCCTTTCATCTGCGCCGGACGCAGGCGCGTCCATCGCCGCCTCGGCCGCCTCCAACGATGCACTGGAAGTCGCGAACGTGCCCGACGCGCTCTACGTCGCGTCCTCCCCGAAGGACGACGGCTCCGCGGCGTCGCTGAGCCTGCCCGCGGGCCTCTCGCGGTTCGCGCCCTTCGAGGAGAGCTACGACGACATGAACCAGCTGCGCCGCGCGCTCAAGGTGCTCTCAGTGCAGCGCGACGCGCCCTACTACATGCAGCACAGCAGTCCGCAGCGCGTGGAGGCGCGATGCCCCTCCTGGAGGCAGCGCAAGCGCCGCGCCAACGCGGAGGACGACCCGGAGGCCGCCGCAGTGAGCGCGCCACTCTGCGAGTTCGTGGTCTCGGCCAACCGCCACGCCAACGGGCGGGTCTACGTCACCCGAGCCATCATCACGCACTCGCCGACGTGTCCGGTGCTGCAGGCGCGGCTGGCCGCCAATGCCGCGACACCAGGGGCAGCTTCAGCCCCAGGCTCGGAGAAGGCGCGCGCGTCGGCGGTCACGGCTTCGGCGTTGTTGGAGACGGCGCTGCCGTTCATGGGTCAATTGGCCAATTCGAGGGGAGGACGAGACGCGGTCAAGCCCAAGGACGTGAGTGACATTATGAAGGAGAAGTTCGGAGTTAAGCCCTCGTACATGACGGCGTGGAGGGCGCTGAGTGCGTTCAGGAAGCAGCGCAAGGAGGAGGACTCGTCCTCGTACATGAAGCTGGATGGATACTTGCAGGCCTTTGCGGCCACCAACACGGGCAGTTTGGTGGCCTTCGAGCATCAGGACAGCACGCAGGTGCCGCCGCCGGCCAACAAGCCCAACGCGAAGATGTTTGGGCGCGCCTTCCTGTGCCCCAAGCCGCTGCATGATGCACTGAGGTATTGTCGAGGATCGATGCTGCTGAGCGTGTTTCTAGTGACGTCGGCGTTTGGAGGAGTGGTGCTTACTGCTACGGCGCAGGACGCAATGGGGGACAATGTCCCCATTGCTATCGCGCTCGCTCCGGCGGAGACCGAGACCGAGTGGCGCTTCTTCCTGCAGCATCTGAAGCGCGCGTTTCCGGAGCTGGAGCGCACAGTGACGTCGCTTGTGCACAACCGCGGTGACGAACTCACTCGCGCTGTGCACGGCGTGTTCCCCAGCTGTCCGCAGTCGAATGAAGTTGAAGTGTTCATGCGATCCCCCGCACAAGTTGCTGCTGGTGCTGCATCGGAAACGTCGACGGGGTCTTTAGCCACACCTGGAACGACGGCTCCTACTCTTCCTCTGGATTCGTCCATGCAGTGGATGGAGGCATTGTGCGCGAAGGCCCCGCTCATGATCCTCGTTGGCTGGGTCTCCCAGGTGGCTCGGACGCTTTTCCAGCGCTACGAGCGGTACGGCCACCTTAGCTCGGAATACCCGGCCGAGTTCCACTCACTTGCTGCGGAATACGAAGGGGAAGCAGCCCGTTTCGACGTCGTGCGCACCTCCGAGAGCGAGTTTGAAGTTATTGACCAGCAGACCAGCGCCGGGCGAGTTGTCAACTTTGCGAAGCAGACCTGCACGTGCGGCGAGTACGACGTGTCTCGCTTCCCGTGTCTGCATGTATTTCTTGCAGTGACTCAAGCTGGAATCGTGCAGACGGATGTTATTCCACGCATCTTCCTCATGACATCCCTTAAAGCGCTCTACGCGGGACGTATCACGCCGATCGATATCAACACGGTGCCGTCCGACGGAGTTACAATTCCCCAGCCGTTGCCAAAGACTCGCGGTCGACCGCGTAAGGTTCAGCAGATCCAACAGTTTGGTGATCCAAAGCAGGAGAAGCTTTCGTGCAGTGTCTGCGGCGTCAAAGGACACAACAAGCGCACTTGCAAGCGTGTCGCTGGCGTTCCGGTCCCGATTGCCCGCGGCCCTAGCGTCGGCGAGGTCCACTCTGACGATGTGGCTAATGGTCAGGAAGACACGTTCCTTGTGTCGCCATGTACGATGCCGCTGGACTTCTTAAAACTTGAGCTGGGTTCGAGCTAACTTGTCTGCGATCGTGCTGATGTTGTACAGATGGCGACGCTCTTTCGTTCGATAATGCAACGCTTGGGGGCAATAGTGCTGAGAGCCAAGTGAGCGACGGGCAGTCGCTTCACCTGGGCTCAGGAAAGCGTCGACGACTCGCGGCTAGCGATAGTACTGAGGAGAAGAAGGCTGCTGAAGAAGAGGATGAAGAGGCTACCAGCGGTGTTGCGCTGGTATGACCTGTGGTTATGTGTATATGTGCTGCTCAATATGCTGCATATACGGACGTAAAGACTTCGATAAGAATGCAAGTTGTTGCTGTCAGGACTGCATCAATTGCATCGCTCCTTAGAAGTATGGATTCGAATAAGAGCCTGTTGACGGCTCTTTCGTTGCTCTACTGGGTCATCGTAGCTGTTCGCAAGCGATTGATAGCTGCCGCCAACTACACGCACACAATATCACATGTTAGAATGAAGCGTTGCAAGAGCGTCCACCGTGTTGGTAAATCCTACCTCGAGCTTGCGGGGCCGGGTGTAAAACCCAGACTTCTTGTGAAAGCCAACAACGTCAAGCGATCCCGTACGGTCAATTTCACTCTCGAGCTTAGCCAACACCTCCTGTAAGCAAAAAACAAACACGAGATGCGTGAATATTACTCTCGACAAACAAACGCCTTAGACATGTTGAGCTGGCGAACCTCCAGAGTGCGCTTGCCGTCCATAAAGGAACGCGCCTTCTGAATAGCGTCGGCAATGGTGCGCACTTGGCTGGGCTCCACGAGCTGCTCCACGGCGGCTAAGTCCAAGTCCACCTGCAACTCACACAGACGCCCGCAAATGAGCTCACTGCATCAGAACCAATGCACATGAAATCGCTACATACCTCGCCATACTGAATTTTGCCGAGACCGCGCGAGACAACTTTGCCGTTGACTTCAAAGCCACGACTCAGAGGGATACGCGGCTTGAAACCACCGAACTCGGCGTCCTGTCGGATCTCTACGTGCTCGCTGGCGATTTTCTTGGCCTCCACGGTAACATCACGCGGCTCGTACGAGTCCATCATGATGACTTGGTCCGCGACCGAAAAGTAGTCGCCTGCTCCACCGATGACCAGCACCGACGACACTCCGCGCTGCGTGTACAGTGCTCGCACCTTGGAGATGAAAGGTGTGATCGGCTCCTTGTCCTTGGCCACGAGCTGCTGCATCTTCCAGTCGCGGATCATGAAGTTGGTCGCGCACGTGTCTTCGTCGATCAGCAACGTCGTGGCCCCCACCTCCAGCGCCTCGACAATGTTGGCCGCCTGCGACGTACTACCAGACGCGTCCGCAGTCGAGAACCGGGTCGTGTCCTGCTTGAAGGGCAAGTTGTCGATGAACGCGCTGATGTCAGTGCACACAACGCTACGCGAGTCCTCCGAGCGAATCTTGGCCGCGTTCGGATCGATGACCACGAACTCGCGTCCGTCCGAAGGCACGTGATTGTACACGCCGACCTGGAGGGCCTTGAGCACCGTACTCTTGCCGTGAAAACCTCCGCCCACGAACAGCGTGACACCCTGCGGGATGCCCATTCCCGTGACAACTCCGCAGTTGGGCAGCGTGAACTTCTTGCTGAGCAACTTGGGCGACTTGAACGGAATGGCCTTATCACTGCTCAACGGCAGATCCGATGCTCCTGACTGACGCGGGAGGATAGCTCCATCATGGACGAAGCCCACGAGCCCCGCGCCCTTCAGCATCCCTCTCAGAGCCTCCTGGTCTTCCACCGAGTGCAGGTGCTCCCACAAGTGGGCCACGTCCAAACTCCGGAGCACCAGTGACTGTTCCACCAGCTTGGGCAACGTCTCCACGAGAATGGTGTAGGCCCAGTCTCCGCAGATGCTGCGGCCGCGGGCCGGCAGGTTGATGTTGAAGCGGGCCTCGACGTCTCCATTGGCCAAGACGTTGACGCTCGATCGCTCAATCACGTGCTGGCCTGGGGCATCAATGGAGATATCTCCGCCCTTGGCCCCCTGCCACGAATCGCTGACGGCCTTGGCGTCGGCCCCGCAGCGGCGGGCACTGGCCGCAAAGGTGCGAGTCAGGTAGTCGCATAGAGCGACGTTGCGCGTCTTGTCGCCATACATTTCGGCCGGGAACGCGGCCGACGTAGCGGAGACCGTCACGTGCGCGCGCGATGGACTGGCGTACGGGTCGCCCTGGATGTGGTCGAACTCGAGCGAGAAGCGGAGGCCATTGTCGTACTGGAACACGCGCTCCAGCTCGTGATACGCGCCGTAGTTCCGGTTGTGGATCTCCTGCAGCACATTGCCCAGTTGGTCCCAAGACGCCATGGCCAGAGGCGTCCGCGCGCGGTCATTGTAGTGGCCGCCGTGGCCTCGGTCATAGCCCCCGCCGTCTCCCCGGCCGCGGCCTCGGCCACCTCGGCCACTCCCTCGGCCGCCGCCGCCGTACTTGTTGCGATAGTACTCTCCACGGCCCATTTCGCCCGATCCAATGAAAATGTGGCAGAAATAGGGTAATAACTAGGGTCCAAAGTCGCGCTGCGCACGAGGAAGCCCTGAAATTTCCGGTGCGATGTTGAAACTACGTCGTGAGAATTGCAAGCAGAAGAGGGCAGGGGCAGCAGAAAATAGTTATACTAACTTAGTACTGATTCGTGATGCTACATGAACTCGGTAAGTCCTCGCGTTTGCAGCCGCCTCCACGGTGACGTTGGCAGTGGCAATAGTGTTATTCACCAGCGTGGTGTTGAGCATGGTGGCGCAATAGTTCTCCGCGTAGGTGGGTTCATGCACAGCTGCTCGAGGTCATCTTGAGTCTGGATGTTGGCCATCGCAGTGTTCAGCGTCGAGTTGGCCGTCATGAGGAGCTCGAGCCCACCGGCAGACTGTAGAGCAGCTCCATGTTGGCCTCGTAGATACCGACCTGGTAGAGCAGCGTGACGCCCGTGGCGGCCAAGTGGTTCAAGCCCGTGGTTCCACTTACATATCTCGGACGAGCCGTCGAACTCAGCGAGGTCGCCGACGCAGTCCTGGCTCAGTCCGTCGATAACCCCATAGTGTCCGGCGCGTAGCGACTACCAAGAAAGGTCGATAGAACATTGAGCGGCAGGCCGCCGCTCAATGCCGCAGCGGCAGCAGCACCGTGAGGATGTTCGTGTCCGAGATCTTCTGCAGCTTCAGCACGCCGTCGACGTCACCGTCGACGTAACGTCGAGTTCCTCCTCTGGAGCCCCGGTCGTGCCCTTCTCGAGCATCTGAGCCAGCATGTGGATGATCTGGCTGCCCATACTGTGGCCCACGAGGTGGAACCTTCGCACCTCCTCCTCAACCATATTCTCGCCATCGAAGCCACTGGTGGCCGACGCGCCCGATCCGTGGCGCGGCGACGGCGCCGTATTGGACGCGGAGGAGAAACGCTTGGTCATGATCTTCGGACGTCTCGGCGCAGCCCACGATGTCGGGGTGCGCCATGAGCAGGTCCTTGACGGCGACAGTGACGTCGTTCGCGGTGATGGTCGTGTTGAGGCTGGCGCCGCGGAACTCGACGGCGAAGAGTCCCTCGCGGCGGGACGGGCGGAAGAACTGGGTGCTGGGCGAGAGCGTCTGCGTCTTGGGCTTGTGCACGACGTTGTCGTAGCTGCAGCCGGCGGTGCGCGCGCGGTTGGCCTTGTAGATGACCTCGTTGGGCTGGATGAGACTTGGCCCTCAGCCTTGCGTTGAAGTCGAGTTCAGGGCTCGGACCCAACGGGATTACAAGGGCTGTGTTTTATAACAAAAAACTTTATAGGCAACCCGGAGCGTTGCTCCGGGAGGGTACACAGGTCGACGAATAGTTTCATGGACGATGATAACGAATAATAATTGAGTAAATCCCAAAGTTGTATTGTTTTTAATTCTTAAAAGCACTACCAGCCCAACTCTCTAGTTGATTCTAACGTGGGCATCAACTGCGCCTGCTTCGCAGCCGCAGCATCTGACCGGGAATGCGTAATTGAACAAATAGTTGCGCACATCGAAGTGTATCGGTACGGAAATGATGTTTCAGCCAAAGCTTTGTGAGGCTGGTAACCAGCAAGCCCCGCTCTTCTTTATCGTGGTGGGTTCTCAGGAACCGAAAGTCACCAATTGAGGTCGCCTGGTCTGATGAGGCCATCGGTGACATAACACCCTGGTCAGCGTCCAATGGCTGCGTTGACGACGGCAACGAGAGAGCTATTTCATTCATTTTGCAGGTAAGGTATACTGTGCTCATTTAGTACTATGCTGTGTGCTAACGATCAGACGAGAGAGCTAGCAGAACGAAGGAGAGACGCATGGTGCGCTGATCTTGACCATTTAACTTGAGAGCTTGGGGGTAAATTGCGGGATGATTAATACGTTAATTCTGGGATAGAAGTAACCCCGGAGGGAGTGCCGTCCGCCCGGTAGCTGGCTCCGGTAAACTGAAGCCGGTAACTGAAGCCTGTGAAGGAAATAAACTGAATACTGTCTTCGAATCTTGCAAAACGGAACAACTATAATTGTCGTACATGAACTTATTTAAATATGCAATGTGAGCTGGTGTGTGTAGTGCGCGTGGCAGCGAGACTATCCCCACTGCGGAGGCACCCTGCGTCATGGTGCTTCGGCCCCGTACGTGATTGATAGTTTTTAGTGCTGCTGCTTAGGCTGCCTCCGGTGGGTATCATATAGACTTGATACCGGGCAGATGCTGCGGCTGCGAAGCAGGCGCAGTAGATGCCCGTAGTTAGAACTAACTAATCGTGTTTCTTGACTTGAATTCTGCGCTAGAGCAAAATTTGTGCTGCAAAACCGCTATCATGGCTCGAGCGTAAAATCAACTGATAGTGACAATATATAACAAGGAAACCCGAATACGACTCGGTGTGCCCAAGTTTATCAATTAAAAAACGTACTTGCCTGTACAACCTCGTTGCCGTGTCTATAATGATGATCGATAATATGGAGTTGATGCAGCCAGAAAACGAGTACGAGGGATTGCCCATCCAAACAATACTCCGTAATCAAGATGTCGTTCTTTCCACTGCAATGCGCCAAAACGTTTGATCATTTAACCCCCCTAACCCCGTATTCTGTATCCTACAGAATAAGCAATGTCACAGGACATAATATCCAGCAAACTTGTCCTCTCTTTCGAACTTCGCATATGGATGTTTGTATAGCCGGTATTGTGCACATCTTCCTGTTAGATTAGCGATGGGAAGATAGACGGGGTTTATTCCGCGGTAATAGACGGACGAGTATAAACCACCAACAGGTTTGAAAATTCGGGTGGAAGCCTAAAACCGCCGCGTGTCAGCCACTCGTACTTTCCTTCATTCCAAAACTGCGCTGTTCAAGACGTCGCAATGCAAGCTTTGTTGGGGCCCGTCGAGCGCGCCCAAGTGGCTAAGGACCATGGCCGAAGACGATCATGATGAGCGCCATTGTGGTCTAAAGGTAAGCGAGAGCGTGTACTTTGCTCTGTAACATCGTACTAGTGGTATATTGATTCTACGTTGCGATGTTGATTACCAGACTTGGTGATCCGACCCAGACGACGACGCTATGAGCTCTCGCGTGTGGCCCGATTGGCAGATCGATTGCGGAGTCAGCGCACAACCTCATCGGTTCCTACGAAGCCGGCTACAGCAGGGTCTACGGCTATATTGTAGCTGATGCAGTGGCTACTCAAGAGGCTACAGAAGAAGCGCTCCTCATGGTGTGGCTACACCGGAGACTACAGAAGAAGCGGTAGATGCTACGGTGGATGCTACAGAAGAAGCTCTCCGCGTGATGAGGTTACACCGGAGATAACAGAAGAAGGGACAGAGGCTACGACGGAGGCTACCGATGAAAGCGGCAGGAATGAAGCGGTAGTGCCGGAGGCTACAGAGCAAAGCGGAGGCTGCCAAAATGGCGAAGATGACCCACGGCTGGCGCGAACATTGAAGAGCGTGCGCATGTAAAGGAAGAAGTAGACGTTGGCATGAATATCATATATTGTCCTGTTTCGTACAAGAGGAACCGTGTGTAGTGCGTGTCATTACGGGCTATTGAGCATGCAAGCTCTCTGGTGTTGTTAGAGAGGTAATCGTAACAAGCTTGTTAGGTGGGCTAAAGAAATCTAATGATGCGCTAATGTCAAGCACAAGGAAGAATTCGCCCAGTTCCTCCTCACTACGTCAGTTAGGAACTGGGCGATTTCTTCCTCCGCGTTTATCGCGACGTGCCGAAGATGGGTGGCTGGAGCCAAAGTATGCTGCCTTAGCAGCCTTGCAAGGTATTACCATGTAGCAGGTTTTGAGCGTGCTCTAAGCTCGCCACGACCAATAGAAGCTCGCCATTTCGGCATATGGTGGATACATTGAGCATGTTTGTTCACTTTCGTAGCTGTTCTGTGCACAATGTACCCAGCGCTTGACCGCAAGATGCGAAAGGGCTTCCAACAGCAAATCTTTGACAATATTTTAATCAAGTCTAATGTTTATTCTGTAGGATACAGAATAAGGTCTGGGGCTAGAAGGGTTAACTTGTCCTACGGACGTAAAAATTCAAAACGAGTGTCGAGCACACGCCAACTACTTAACTTCTTTATTTTTTAAATGCACCGCCTCGCCGAATAAGACACAAATGCACTGTATCGCAGTCCAGAGATTGCCTCACCCAATGTCCCTCAGCTATCCCAGCCTACTCAAAGCTCTCGTGGGCCAAGTCCTTGTAAGTGGGCGCTTCAACGCAGGGAAAAGGTCTTATTCAAACGAACGATACTCGTGCCAGTGTCGAGTTGAGCTGGTTAGTTTGGCGAGAAACACGAGGTTGGGCATCTTCGGCTAAGAGTGATCGGGTATTGAGCAAATTGACATGTAAAAAATGCAGCCTGCAGCTAGACAAATCATGTTGGTCATCTTCAGCTAAGCTTGGTCGATTATGGCGCAAGCCATGGCGCTCTCATAGTGTACTGGAGCGTCCGTAAGTGTTTCAAGCTTCAGGTTTTGGTAATGAATAAACAATTAGTATCAACCTTTGGTAAATAATGTGCATAAATCTTACTGTAGCATTTGAGACGACTTCAAACGAATTGATGCTAGGCGCCATTTGGAGTTATCGAGATAATCGCGTTTGAAGTTGACCAATCGATTTTCGGAAATAACCGGACATCAAAAATTCGAAAGTGAAAAGCACACGTAAAAAGCGTAAAAACACTCTGATTCGCTTGCTTTTGGCGCGAGCTTTCCGAAAATATACAATACGATAAAATTGAAAAAATATTGAGGTCACGCCCCAAATAAAATCGTGAATTTAGGGGTGTTGTCAAGACTGATGTGACGACGCCTCGCCAAGCGACCGTGTGACGCGAACGCGTCATCAGTGAGGTCGGCGTGACCTTCACTGTGTTGTACCGCAATCATTCAGGTGATTACGGGACGATGATTACGTCACGGTGATTACGCCAAGATTGTGGGTACAAGATGGGCATCGACGTGGCGTTCTCTGATTGGATAAGGTAACTGTGTATCCAGTAGAGAATCCAGTAGGGTGTATCCAGTAAGAGGTATCCAGTAGCAGGCTTAGAGGTAGCACGCGGTTGCGAACTAAGGACCTGAATCGAATCACTTTGCATTTTGCCAACTACTGCTCAAGTGTTCTTCCTTTTGGTTATGAGCCCAAGCCCCGTCTTCCCTGACCAAGACCCCGACTACGCCTTCGCCATGGACGCCGCCCCGACCGCGACCGCCCGCATCAACAAGTTCGACGGAACCAACTTCCACACATGGAAGTTCAAGATGCAGATGGTGCTGGAGGAGCGCGAACTGTGGGAAGTGACGAGTGGGGAAGTGAAGCTCGAGCAGTGCACGACCGCGGCGGACCAAGCGACGTTTCGCAAGAAGTCGCGCAAGGCGCTGGCGATCGTCTGTCTCGCGTTGGAGGACTCGCAGCTGGCGCTGGTGCGGTCGGCGAAGGACGCGCATGATGCATGGTCAAGACTCGAGGGACACTCCGAGAAGAAGAGCCTGTCGAACAAGCTCTTTCTTCGTCGACGGTTCTTCACGACAACGATGGACGAAGGTGATGATGTGCTGGACCACATTAACAAGCTCAAGACGCTGGCGGAACAGCTCGACGCGGTCGGCGCTCCGGTCAGCGAGGACGACTTGGTGATCACGCTTCTTGCCAGTCTGAGCGAGTCGTACCAGTTCCTCATCACGGCGTTGGAATCGCGTTCCGACACGCTGACGTGGGAGCTCGTGACGTCTCGGCTCCTGCACGAGGACATGAAGCGCAAGGAACAAGGTGGCGGTGCTGACGGGACCGCGCACGCTCGAGGTCAAGCGTTCATGGCAAGCGACAACGGGAAGCGCAAGGGACGGCAGGCGCAAGCGCAGAGGACGAGTGCCTGTCACTACTGCGGCGAGCACGGACATTGGATCGCCAAGTGTCCGGTGCGGATCCGCGAGAACGGGGAGCGGCAGAGGCCGCAACGAGCGAACGTCGCGCAGGTCGAAGATGACTCTGGCGACTTCCTCTTCTCGGTTGGTGGCGACACGGGTGCCTCCAAGCTGAGCGGCATGTGGTTGGTCGACTCGGGTGCGACGCAGCACATGACGTACTCGAAGGAGTACATGAAGAACTACAAGAAGATCTCTCCGGTAGACGTGCATCTGGCGGACGACGGCGTGGTTCAGGCGGTGGGGAGCGGCGACATCGTGATGTCGATGCAGACACCGCGCGGCAT